TCTACAGCTAAACTGGAAAGTTTTATCTGTACATTTGTGCAAGATATGAATGGTTTCACACTCAAATAAAAAAGTATTGAAATGACCTGCTTCCTTTTCATTTTGCATTTGAAATGGCTTCGGTGTGTATATATTAATAGCATTCTTTTTATTTTCTCTTTTTAAAATGCATTAGGGTGTAAGTAGGCGCAACAAAACCAAGTGTCATGTGTGATTGGCTTAACCAGTTCCCTATCATCCTGTCATGCAGTAATCATTAAAGCCCGGGTAGGCCACACATCCTGTCCTTTGCCAAGTATAGTAAATATAGTACCTACAGCCTAATTGACCTGTTCTTCATACAGGAATTTGTCCTAACTTTGCATAATGGCTAATGTGAGCAAAAGGCTGCCTTTCAGCTCTTACAGAGAATATTCTTCTTCACTACCAGCATATTGAGAGTTCCCCTGGTACTTAGTTCATTATACTTTAATGATCACTGGGTGTAAAGATATTCCAAGTGCAGTGCTTTAAATGCTAATAAACTTCTAGAACAGAACAGTAACATTACTGAATACTTGATAAGAATTGAATTCTTCTCCATCACTGTAGTTTGATTCTGTGGCTTAGAGAAGTAGAATATAGAAATTTTAAAAGACTGCATTTTACCCAAATGTTAACAATTTAGGAGCTCAGAGAAATTCTGAGCCACAGATTCCCAGAAATGGCAGTAGTAGAGGTCTTAGCTAAAGACCTTGAGAATTTGACAATTTAATTTGCATTTTGAAAGATGTATTTAAAGCCAAGCTCTTACTTGCTATTATATAACATATTTATACCTGAAAATGATTTTAAGATGAAAATTATTTATATATCATACATAGCATCCTCTTAAATATATTTAGCTTCATTGTTCTATGAAAAAAAAGGAATGTTGGGTTTCATTCTCTGATGGTAAATTAGTTTGATCTTTCATCTATAATCCATAACAAGGGAGAGGAAAAATAGATTCTCAGATTTAATAACTAAAATAACATGAGGATGACCAGCCTATTGCTCTCTTGCAATTCAAAGCTAGTGTTCTATAAATGTACAAGGTGTAGTCAAGTATAACTTTTTACTTATTTAGTACAAAAAAATTAAGTAACTACCAAATTCTCTAGCCAGGTATCAGGAGCACATAACAAACAACACCCACTCACAAGCAACAGCCACAAGGTAATTAACTGTACAACAAAAATAATCGTGATTAACAAGAGTCTGAGGCCCAAGGGTAGAGAGGTCACTCCAGGAACTTTCAAGGGAGAGAATGTGTGCCTCCTTGTACAGAACAACCAAGAGCTCAGAGCTGCCAGCACCGAGGAAAAGAAGGCAGCTTGAGATGAGGGCAAACAGTCACTGGGCGTCTTCTCCAGAGCACAAGGTGCCCATCTCCTGGGAACGGAGAGCACTACCCAGGTTCCCAATTGTTCTAAAACCTTCAACTTCACAACTGGGAAGGATCTGATCAGGGAAAGTGAACAGCTGCGTGAGCACATGACTCAAAGCACCTTCTCTCCCTCTGATGGTTCTTAGCCAGTCACCAGAATGGGAATGGGCAAGGTTGGCAGCTGGGAGAGGGGCCAGTCACTTGTCAGAGGAATAACAGAGGAGTTTTGGCAATAAAGGAGCGCTCCCCTCTTAGGACTTTTTCCTGAAAAGAATTCTGCCAGCTTGAAGCTGGCTGAAGTCACGAACAGCAGCCAGGATGGCTCACCCACGTTGCAGGCCTGTGGTGTCCTCGCATCCATCCTGCTGTGTCCTTTGTCAGACCCTGGTATACTCCTGGTCTGGAAAGAAAGGGAGTTTGTGGCTCCTTGGAGACTGCAATCCAGGCACAGTCCAATACAAAAATTTTTGCTGTTGATTTAGCCTAATCTAATGGGGTAAGAGGGATGAAATCTTGTGACATACCATGGCTTCCCCTTCGTGTGATGCTGGAAGGGCTGCCTCCCTGCTCTGGACCTCAACAATATCTCTGACATTCCAAATTACAGTCTGTATGCTGATGGACTGGGGCTGGCAGGGCTGGGTAAGGAGGGCGGAGAGCTAGAGAAAGGAATGGGTTGGACTGGCAGCTGGACAGCGTTTCGGGAAGCAGCCACAGGAGTAGGTGCCTGCTCCAGGAACTGATGCCAAGATGGACTAAGGTTCATGCCCATGAGTGCAGCCCATACACCTGCACCATCACCAGGAAAGCCCCACCCTGCCTGGTGTCTGACCCCACCCTCTCTCCTGCCACTCCGGAGAGTGTTCTTTGGAAAGTTTCCTTTTAGCATTGCCATTAATTTTTGCCTTGAAGTCCTTCAAAATGGTAGAGGTTAAGTCTGTTGAAGGAAAAAGTTTTAGCTCTCTATAGGACAATATTTGTCCCAATTTCTTGCACCTCTTCAAGGTAGTCTTTTGAAATAGAAAACCCTAGGGAGGGAGGTAGTATAAATACACTCCTTATTACAGGGTCAGGGGATATGGGAAAAGGGGTTACTATAAGTCTTCTGGAGCCTAGGAGGAAAACACTCTGAAATTTTGGCAAAAGTGAAGGCTTTGAATTCAGACCTAGGGAAGAACCTTAAGAAACTGTCCCCACTGAACGCTTTAAAATATATATTGGATATACTGTCTTTAAAGGGAGGTCAAATCCTGGTTCTACCAAACATAGGTTGTAGAAGTGTCATTTCTACTCTAAGAAGGATGGGACTAACTGATCCAGAATGTGACCTGGGCATCAGTATTTAAGCTCCCCAGGTGATTTCAAGATGTGGTCAAGGTTGAAAACCACAACCCCTTCCATCTTGAAGCTCTAACATTGAGCACCACTATTGCCTGAACCCGTTCGACAGTTGTTTTTTTTTTACAGGGCTCCAGTCTGTCGCGAGTGGTGAACGGTGCCCTGTGCAGGTAGGGGCGCTCACAGCAGCCTGCACTGTGCAGTTTTCCCTTAGCTGCAAGCCTGGCCCTACCACACAGTTTTGTTGGCCCTCCAGTCACACCAGCTCCCTGCCACTTTGCCGCCTGCCCTTCTAACCTGTAACTTCTCTGCTTCAGTTCCCTGGCAGCCTCCTGAACTCAGCCAGTGTGGATGCAGGCCTTGGGGCAGAACTTTTGTGCCTCATCTGTCTCCTCCCTGATGCTCTTCCCCCATTCTTTCTCCTGCATCTCAGCCCCCCTCCCAACCCTCTCACCCCCATGTTTTGCTGCTGCTGGTGTAGGTGGGGCGGAAGACGTGGGCCAGAGTTGAAGAAAAAGCTGTTGCTAGGAAAGGAGTGTGGGTGACAAGAGCTAGTGGGTGGGAGAAATAGGACTCCCCAGCTTTACGCCTCCCTTTCTCATCATAAATGCCTCAAGAGCTAAAACCAGTCGTTTAGGATCTATTATGAAAAAGAATGAGGTCTGACCGTGACAGCAGGGGAGAGAGAATCAGCCTCAGAAACAGCTGCAGCGCTGCTATTTGGTATTTATTATAGTCTCCGAATAGAAAAGAAGAGCCTGAGAAAAGTTTTAAAAAGTGAACTCTCAAGGAACTGTCAAACTGTGCCCCTAGGAGGGAGGGATGATATCCAAAAATGTCCTGGCCTGGGCTACACCCCTCAGAAACAATAAACTGCAAAATGTCTTTTCCAGGATTGAAATGTAGTCAAGGCAGAAGGACGACAACTGTCAAAAGAGGAGTCTTCGACCCTCTTTTCTCACCTCATACCAAGAGGTTTATAGCACACTGCTGAAACCAATCTGCCCTAATCCACGCAGTCCTCATTTCTTGGGATCTAAGGTGCATCAGTTGCAATCAATACACCATCTCCACTTCTCACAACCTCTCTGCAGTGTCAGTGGTAAAATCACTCATGTTCAATTGAGTGCCTTGTCCAAGGTCACCCAGTTTAAGGGGCAGAACTGTGATTTGAAAACTACTCCCCAGTCCCTCTGTGCCCTCTCTATTATAGCACATTTTCTTTTTCCTCCTCACTACTTTTGTTCCCACAGCACCCCCACCCCCATTCCCCTGTCCTAAGCGGCTTTGCAGTTTTTAAATCAACCTTGACCGTGGTAAAAGAATCCAATGGAATCCCAGAGAGTTTCAGAAGTTCTGGGAAATTTTTTGCTCACTAAATGAAGGCGGTTTCTAAGCTGGGCATCAGATCATCTTCTGCACCCAAGGTAGCATTCCACCCACTATACATGAACGACAGACTAGTTTCCTCTCTATCGTTTCCCAAGGTATGTACAATCCAATACATTATCAAGGTCCAAGACTTGGTCATTCTATAGAAAAAAGAACAAAGAAAATAATAATGTAAAAAAAAAATACCAGGTCACAGGAGGATTTTTTATTACCAGGTTGAAAAAAGCTCTGCAGGGGAGGAGCAATGAGCCAAGCACTGGCTGGAATGAAGTCATTGGGGTGGGGTGGGGTGGGGTGGGGGAGAAAGAGGAGGCCTGGCTACCTCTTGCTGTTAAGGTCACTACCCTTTGACAGAGGTGGCCTCTGACCTCAACAACCCTACAATTCTGTTTTGACTGACCCTGAAACCCATGAAATTCAGATGTAGGCCCTGCTCAAAAGTTGAGATAAAGCTGACTAATATGGGAAAAGCTCCCGGTATGTGCCCCCAGCTGAAAGGAGTTGGCAGTTCTTTGGCCGTAGATGCAATTTATTCTGTCCTCCTCCTTTCAGGAAAATGCTAATCCTTCATAGGCAACTGGAGGGGAAGTCTAAAATGTGTTGATGATGAATGACAATAATTCTTTGTGCACTGTCACCTCCTCCTAGGGTTGAACCTTAAGAGTTTAATCAAATGTTGGTAAGTAAATTAATGCTTTACTGCAAAAGGTGGTGGGAAGAAGAGTTGTGAGAATGTATTTCCTCTAACGTATGAATCAATAAAGTTACTGCAAAGGCATTGATATGGGGAGGGGGCTGAAGGAGCATTTTAGACTCCTTATCTCACACCACCCCCCTCCCCGACACAAAACCAGTCATTATCTCAAAATTTTATACCATATCAGTTTAAAGATGTTATTTCAAAGGCTTAAATACCAAAACAGTTGGAATTACTTTTTGGTTTTTTTTTTTTTTGTTGTTGTTGTTAAAAACAACCGCAGCCACAACACCAACAACTGAAAATTCATGCATTTGGGCTCCCATAGGAATAACAGCCTTGAGTCCTGAATCTTCACAGCATTCCTTGTGAGGAATGTTCAGTTTTTCAATCCAGTTCAGTTAACACTTGAGTGGTCACTCCTTGCCAGGTCTCCTGTGCCAGCTACTTCGACAGCCATCTCTTTTAACTCTTTCAACATCCTGTGGAGGAGATGAAATTATGCTCATTACAGTTGAGAAATTCATGCTCAAAGAGGGCAAGTGCCTTATCCCCAAACACAGAGACAAAGTTAAAATTCAAACAAAGTCTCTCTGCTTTCATATTTTTACATACAAAAAAAAAAAAAATTGCCAGAAGGGTTTCAAGCCTATTTGACAACCATAGGCTTCTGAGACTCCTCTAGTAGTGAGGTGGGAGTAAATACCAGGTTTTCCAATTCCCAGTCCAGGTTCTTTCAACACATTATTACACTGCCACCCAAAGCGCTGGGTTTTCCCAAGAGATGTTTGGATGAGATTCCAAGTGAGTGAGATGCAAATAGGTCTGACCCACATTCCAACTCTTGGATTAAAAAAAAACCAAAAAACTACCAAAGGGCAGAGCCCATTTCATGTGAGAGCCCCACTGTAAACAGTCACTATTAAACAACTATAGGTAAATCTGCCAAGGACTAATGGAACAGGCTCAACGAGAACACTGAAAACATTACTAAGGAATCTCATAAAGGTACTGAAAGGCTGGGATCAAGTGATCATAAATGTTTAAGTGTTAAAAAAATTTTGAAGTCATCTACATCCTATTTAATTTTCTAAATGGGATCCAGAGACAAAATGTGCATAAGGATCTGAAGCCAGCCAGCAACAGACCCTCCCTCCTTTCCTGTCTCCCCATTTTACTTAATTTTATGTCATTTGGCATTGTAGGGTTATGTTTTCAGAAATGTAACACATTATAAACTGAAGCTGGACTGGCTGGTAATAAAGCCATCAATGATTATGAAACATATCTCAGGTTTATCCCACTGACCAAACTGATCTCTAAGAAATCCGTGGCTGGCTTTCAAGTTTAACCAAGTCAGTATCATCTGTCAATAAACATCTTAATTTTGGCCTCCTGACCTGTTCACACAGCATTTTCCCAGTCTGAGAGCTCTCTTAAACTCTCTCCATCATTCTTTATAGCTCAACTCCTCCAAGAAGGCTTCTCTGATTCTCCCCTTCCAATTAAGTTTATCTTGCTTTGATCTGTATAGTAACTATGTACAATTTCCTTATCAGCAAAATCAATTTATTGTATGGTTGTTTCTTACATCCACAAAAGAGGATCAATTATTTCTACTTTTTAATTTTCATGATGTCTAAGACAATGCTGTGCTCCAAAGAGCACTAAGTATTTCTTTTTAAAAAATTATATTAATCAGCTTTGCTGAAAGGTTGACTTCATTCTTTTTTCTTTTTTATGGTGCTGGGGATTAAACACTCAGGGCCTTGCACATGCTAGTCAAGTGCTTTACCACTATATGCCAAGCCTGAGTCTTCATTCTTGGTAGAAAAAGAAAAGAGTAACTTACATTTTGCCAGGTTATTCTAATTTCTCAAAGACTAAGTTACAAGCACATGAGTTTAAAATCTAGTCCAGTGGTTGATCCTTTACCAAAATATTGGTTAAGTGGTTTTCAATCCTGCTAGCTTATTTCAACTGAAGTAGAATCTTTGTGGGTATGCTCAAGCAATAATTTGCATATATCATAGTATTGGTAGTTGATGTGTGCAAACCCTCTTATTAATACATTTTTCTTAAGATTGAACATATCTAATCAATATTTTTTGTTTTAAAATCACAAAATTTTAGAACTAAGAGAAAAATGATACTTGGATCAATTCCTTTGTTTTATAGCTGAGGATACTGAAGGAGTGGCCTCACATAGGTGGTGTTTGCTGAGTGACAGATCATGTCTTTGTCACCATTAGGGTGCTTGAGGAGGCGAAGAAACCTCTACTTGGGGGGGGGGGACACACACTTGTAATCCCAGTGGCTCCAGAGGCTGAGGCAGGATGATTGTGAGTTCAAAGCCAGCCTCAGCAACTTACTGAGGCTCTAAGCAACTCAGTGAAACCCTGTCTCTAAATAAAATACAAAAAAGGGCTGAGGATGTGGCTTAGTGGTTAAGCATCTCTGGGTTCAATCTCTGGTATCAAAAAAAAAATGAAAGGTAAATATTCATATTTTTAGGGAAGAATGCCAGTTATCTCGAGAGTGAGAAGCAGTGCTTTGGAATCTCAGACTTCTAAAGAAAGCTTTATGAAGGATGGACATGGAACGGTATGTGGGTATGACATCAGCCTGGTGATCACAATACAGTTTATGGTGGTCTGGCCATTCTCAGGGTCTTTAGGTTGACATTGTCTCTTCTGATCAGCAGATAACCTTGGCAATGTACCCTATATTACAGATTCCTTAAAATATGATATCTCCCTTTGTTTGATCTAATCTAAAAATACATGTGTTAGTACATTGCGTAGGCAAATTCACAGTGCACCAGGCAATTTTCGTAAGTGAGTGAATGTTCAGTAACTTTAACATTGTGAGTGAATTTACAGTAACTTTAACATTTACAGATTTCTCAAGAATTTGGGAGTGACAGGATTAGGAGAGAAAACTGGTCTGGGGAGAAAAGGAATGAGGAATTTTAGCCCAAGGTTTTCAGATTAAAGCTACAGTTTCCTTTTTCTTCCTTTGTCTCCTTTCTACCTATCATTTTTTTTTGTTTTGTTTTGTTTTTTATACTACCTCACCTTGAATGAATAGAATGCTCTGAACTCCAATTCTGGAGTTGCAATCACTAGACTGATTTGTTTAATTTCTAAATTTCTGCTTTCTTCTAAAGAAAACATACAGAAGGTATTGCAAGTGGAAGTGTGGATTTTAAAAGCTGTTAGCACCAGGTACTCCTTAAAGACCTTGAATTTGGCACATTCCAACTAGTCCATTGTCATGGCAAGAGGAAATGCCACAGCAGGATATATCAAAGTCCAAAATAAATGACTAGTATCTATTTGCAGGCTTTTTCATTGGCACTAACTTGGAAGTCCATAACATTTTATTATCAGAGCCCAGAGCACTTACCCCTTAATGATACCCCTTATTAGCAGACTTATTTGCTCATGAGTAAGCTAATAGACACCTTGAACTTCCCCTTTCTCTGTAAGAAGATAGTGCCTGTCCTGTTGACCTTACATTTTCAGTTATTATAAGGGTTAAATCAGATATTCATGTAAATATATTTTGACCATAGTGAGGCACTATTCATCTATGTTATTACTTTCTCTCAGAGCACTGACTTGAAAATAAATGACTTATTGCTTTGATCACGCAGGCTCTAAATCCTAATTCCTTGGTACCACGTCACCTAAAAATCCATATGTACTGGAGTGAGCGCTGGACAAAAGTCTCTGGTCACTGAAGGTCTCACATAACTAATACTTAGGGAGGTACAGTGATGAAGTGGCTAGTCTAGGCTTTGTCCCAGTGTCTGCTTTTCACTATTGACTTTGGACAAACCATTTAATTTTTCAGGGACCAGAGTCTCATCAGTGGTTAAAGGATGACTTGAATTACAATCAAAGATCCTTTCATTATGAAATCAGAATATTAACAATTAAAATTACTAAAATACAGTTTCCCAAGCCATTAATTCATGTGATTTCACATTTTTTCCATCTCTTTTTAGAAGTATAGGATTGAAAGCATAAAAACATAGCTTATTTCTAGCAGACAGACACTTCCAAGACATGTGTAAGACCCTTTTTAAAGGAAACATATTTACTGGGATAATTGTTTGTTAATATCCTCTTCAGGAGAACCTTATTCCAAAAATAAATATAAGGTTACCCAAAAAGCACTTAGTACATTACTGGACACAGAGTAGGTATCCAAATATTTGTCACAGCTAAAAGTTTCAGTCCCATTGATGTTAATTAATTCACATGACCCTGGTTTCTTATCTATGAAGTGAGGACAATACCTTCTTCAATGATCCATTGAGATACTGTATATTAAAATGTTTTATAAACTGTTAATTGCAAGTTATTATTATCATCTTAGGATTGTGGCTTACTGTTTCATGACCTAAGAGTGCTTTTTCAAGAGATGGATTAAATCTTTCCTACAATTCATTACAGATGCAGCACTTCTCCTGCTCATAATTTAGATCTGAAATGTCCCTCAAAGTACCATGTGGTAAAGCTTGGTCTCCAGCCCATGGCACTACTGATAGTGAGACCTTTAAAAAGTGAGACCTAGTTGAAGGAAGTTAAGTCATTGGGGAATGGTGTACAGAGGACATTGGGACTCCTGCCCCTTAATCTACTTCTTTGCTTCCTAGTTGCTATGAGTGAGCAGTTTCTTCCACCTCAACTTCCCACCATAGGCCCAAAGGCAGTGGGGGCCAATCAACCATTCATTAAAATTATGAGCCAAAATAAATCTTTTCCCTTATTAGGTTATTTCAGGTATTCTGTAATAGTAATGGAAAGCTGACCAACACACCACGATGCCTGGCTCAACATATATGCTCAATAAATGTTTGCTGCATGAAAAGTATAATCCTCAGAAAAACCTAAAGTCCCAGAGGCTTAGTTTTTTTTGTTAACCTCCAAATTCCCAAAGTCTAGCAGAATACTTAGCACAATATAGAAAAAAAAATTATTAGATGAATAAACTGTACTCCATTTCCTTTTCAACACAGCTCAAGAAGGACAGGCTGGAGGGTGGGTGGCATCAAAGACGATTGCTTCGAGTGCAGAACTTGGACACCGCTTGGAGAATTTATCCACTCTCACCAAAAAGCCTGGGAGAAGAGAAACAGCACGGGCTCTAAATTCACAGTTTCCAAAATCTGCAATTTTGGTAAGTGAATTAACCTCAGGCTGTTTCCTCATGATTATAACAGAGTTGTTCAAAGAGTGAGTTGCTCACTAGCACCGAAGCTCCGCGAAGACGGGGACTTTCTTTGGGGCCCACTGTACCCACGCTGCACTGAACAGTGCCTGCCACAGCACAGGTTCTCAATATTTGTGAATGGATTTGTGAGAAACTGAGCGAACACAGGAAGTGTGTGACAGTGCGTGGTTGGCAGCTGGTCAACATTTCGCCGACGCGAGCCTCTTCCGTCGCTACCTCCTCTCCTACTGCCTGGGTACTTTGACATCTACCCTCAGGGAAAGACCCGCATCCAAATCTCGATTTCTCTTAGGCCGAATTGCTCAACCTCTTCGGGTTCCTTTTAGTTCCACAGAAATCTGTGCTGTGAAATCAGAGGCTCCATGGAAGCCACCTAACACGGTGTGGGACTCCGCTGGCACGAGACGCGCGGCGGCATTTACCACAAAGGCAAAAAAACTCGCCGAGTTCCCTTTCATCCCGAGATAAGTGCCTTTCATCCCCCGCGTAACTGACTGCAGGACACGACCGCAAGCCCGGGAGGAAGGAAGGCAGGAATCTCAGAGGCCGAAACCGCTAAACCAGAACACAGGGAATTAACCGGCGCTTGACAGCTCCCCGCAAGGAGTGGCAGTTTCCGCGACCGTCAGTCCGTCCAACCAGCCAAGTCTGGAGCAGGACGGTCGGCGGCGTAGAGAACAAAAACCCAGGCAGGGCAGAAACTCAGACCCTCCCCCTAACGGTCTCGCCGCAGCTGGCCTCAGGCGGTCTTCGGACTCCAGTTTCCGGCCCTCGCAGGACCACAGTTCCCAGCATGCCCTTAGGGGGGAAGTCGGTCCTTCTGGATGACTACCAATCCCGGCATGCCATTCGGTACCCCAGTAAATCAGAAGGCAGAGTGGGATGACCTCATTGCATATAGGGAATTGTAGTGCACTTAGCCGCAGGCCCGCAGATGGGCGGGGAAAAGCCGGGTCGTTCTCGTCCGCTGAGAATGATTCATAGAGGAGCGTCTGGAGGGAACAGTTCTGTCCCTGAAAGCCCGCTCAAAAGACTGGGCTCTTCTCTAAGGCTGAGAGACCGAGTAGAGCAAGCAGGGTCTCGGGCCTGACCCCGCCTCAGGCCGCTCGCTGGGCCTCGACCAAGTGCTGGGCCTTGTCGGGGACGGCGGCGAGGCGCCGGTTGCTTGGGGAGCGGTGACGTCGCGGGGTGAAAGTTGAGGGGCGGTGACGTCGGGCCTGCCCGGGCGGAGGCTGGCGGGTTGGAGACTGGAGGGAGGGAGGGAAGGAGGGAAGGAAGGAAGCTGGGAAGGAGCGAGCAAGCGGGGGCGCGAGGCGTTTACCTGGAGGCAGCGGCTTGGGAGCGCAGAGCGGCCGCGGCTCCCCCGCACCTGCGGCCATGGATGAGGAGCGCGCCCTCTACATCGTCCGGGCCGGCGAAGCGGGGGCTATCGAGCGGGTCCTAAGGGATTACAGCGACAAGGTAAAGAGCTCTGGCCCCGGGCGTGCGCTCACGCACCCCCGGGCCGCCCTCGGGGCTTGCACATAGCATCCCTCCCCACCCCCCTCATTCCGGGGATGCGCGTTGCTTTCCCCCGAAAAGGTTTCCGGCTTGGGCATGCGTGTTTGTGCCCCCAGCCTTTCCCATCCGTGCATCCTCATCCCCCCTACCCCAACTCCAGTGACCACCCCTCTGATTCCTGGTTCGTCAGCCCGTCGCAGGGACCTCTTCTTAAGCGTGCCAGTCACACCCCCAGAATCCATACCTGTTCGTTTTTTTTTGCCCGGTGTGGCACTCTTGGATGCATAAATGTATGCGAGGCTTCCTCACCTGTGTAGCATAAAAATACGCGCTTCTCTGTATAAACCCAGCCCTTGACATGCATAAAACATGTCAGCAACCATAGCAGTTCTTTATATACCTACACCACTGTGCAGTTTTCAAGGTGTTGATATCTCATATATGATCTCATTTGATTCCTCAAAGTGTTTATAGGGTAGATGTTATCATCCTTCCCATTTTATAGATGAGGAAACCGAGGTGCAAAGAACTGAAATCGCCCCCAAGGTCATGGACATATTATGTTGTAAGTGGGTGGAGAATCTAACTCCTAATAATACCTATTATTTGTATCGCATTAACAGCTTTGCTATTCATTATATCCTTTAATCTTGACAGCGATCCTGTGAGGTATTATCAGTGTTGTGCAGTTGAGACTCAAGATGGATTAAGTAACTTGCCCAAGGTCATACTTGGGAGCCAAAATTTCAGCCTAGGTCTTCAAACTGTCCATTTATTGTTCTTTCCACTTTACAACTTTGCAGTGAAATAGTATCTTGTTCTAAATCCCAGTCTCTTCTTTGAATCTGGGACCCGTTAGCTCTCCATTACTTTTCCTTCCAGGAATTTTACATGTTCATTTCAAAAGGTAGCATACCACACCTTTACTAGGTTAGAAGACTATTGTATAGGAATGACTGATTACTCCCTTCGTGAAAGCACACCCAACACCAAGTCATACCCTAGATGTAACGTCTTTCTTCCTTCTCTTAGCCTCAGTGCATGGTTTCCCACTTTGTGTTTGCTCTTTGCCTACTATTGCACTTGCATATGGTCTATATTACTGAGCTGCCAGTATGCCATTTCTGCCCTGTGTGAAAAAGATCCAAAAATAAGGCTTGGTCCTTTTTATGAAAAACTTTTATTTTAATGTTTCTGATAACCCTGTGAGTAGAGGGGTGGTATTCCTACTTTCAAAAATGGTACAATTTAGGATGACAATGTAATCCTAGGTCCACACAGCTAATAAAATATGGAGCAGAGATTTGAGTGGAGGTTGTCCAGGTCCATATTCAGTGCTCTCTCTACAATGCCACTTTCTTTGGAAGGATGCATTGGTTATATTTTATTCATATCTTAGCCCCTTCACTTTCTTTTTTTCATTAATGGAGATTGAACCCAGGGTCCTCTACTGCTGAGCTACATCCTGAACTCTTTTTAATTCTTATTTTGTGACAGGATCTCAGGTAAGTTCCCAGGCTGACCTTAAACTTGGGATCCTCCTGCATCAGCCTCCCAAATAGCTGGGATTACAGACATCAGCCATTGTGCCCAGCAGTCCCTTCACTTTCTGATGTTTTGGTGTCTGATTTAGGAGAAATTCACTTGATATGTAGGAGTTCATGCTTTGTAGATTATATTCTTTTATCTTGATTTGTTACTGCTTTCCAGAAAAGATAGGAGGCAGCTATAGATTGATTTTCAATAGATAGAAATAGAATAGAGAACTTGGCCATTGTGTTGAAACGACTAATGTTTATTTAGCATTTACTGTCTACCAGATACCCAGCAATAAATCGGAACTTTCTTCCATAGAGGAGGGAGGAAGAACAACCTCCAACTGGATCTTATCACGTCATTCAATATTTCTCTTTCCCTTCATGACTAAACTAATTAGACCTCAGATTTGCTTCCTCCAATTTATCTCTTCCTCTCCTTGATCTCTCTCCAGGTTGGTCTCCATTTACCATTCCTGGCCAAGCATTGTCAGAGCTTACGTGCTGGACATCTCCAGCTCCCCCTTTTCACATTGGCAATGTTTTTAAAGTTGTTATTCCCATTGTGTATTATTTAATATGATATTCTTGAAGTGCTTCAGAGGATTCCCAGATACTTGTACTTTTTGGCCAAGCCAACCCTGAGAATGTTCTGACTTGATGTAAAGGGGGTCAGTTAGCTCTTTCAGAAGAAAACTGTCATGTTTATTGCTGATTCTAGTAGGATCAGTATAGTAGGGCTGATTATAGTACAAAGAAAATAGCTGAGCTTCGTATTGCAGTGAGGCTTTGCTCCTCTAAGGAAGAGATTTTGGGAGCAGATGAAATGGAAGGGGAAATATGATAACAGTGGTCAGGCAGTAAGAATAGGGGGGTGGAGTGAAACTGCCCAGCTTATGGTGTTTGGAGACTGAAACTCTGAGATAGAAGCTGGATACCATGTGCTTCAGTTTCTTTGTCTGGAAAATGGATTTGAGAAATGTTTGGAATAAGAGGTGATAATGGAACACTGAGGAATTTAAACAAAAGAGGAATGAATGATGGAAGGAAAGAATGATTAGTTCATTGATTGGAAGAGGAGAGGGGAAATTCTTTGTTACCTTATTTCTCTAATAAAACCAGACTTTTCAAGTGTAGTGGAAGAAAGATGGGATGTGGCATCAGATTAACCTTCTAATTCTGACTTTGTCATTAATTAGCTTCATGACTATAAAGAAATTATTTACTTTTTGGTATTGGAGATTGAACCAATAAGCCAGGATGCCTTATCACTGAGCTACATATCTCCAGCACTTTTAATTTTTTATTTTGATACACAGTATGGCTAAGTTGCTGACATTGGCCATGGACTTACAATCCTCCTTCCAAATCATTGGGATCACTGGTGTGTACTGCTATTATACCTGGTGTGGATTAAGTTATTTTAGGTCTCCTGTGTCTCAGTTGCCTTATCTGTAAAATAGAGATGATAACATAATTTTCTTACTTTATGTGAGGATTAAATTAAGTGAAATATAATACCAAAGACTGAGCACAGTACATCCAGGGGGTGTGCACTCAGGATTGTAAGCATAACAATCAAAGTACTCAAGAGATTATGGAGCCAGAGCATAGGCTCTTGAGCCAGACTGCCTGGATGCTGGTCATCATTTTATAATAGATGTAGTCTGGGACAGGTTATTTAGCTTACTATGCCTTAGTTTCCTCATCTGTCCAATGAGGATAATGATAGTATCTGTATCACAGGGTTGTTGATAGGCTTAAATGAGTTATATGTGTAAAGCATTTTAGAACAGGGCCTGCCATTGAGGAAGTAACCCTTAATTGTTAGCTTTGAACAGCAAAGGCAAAAACCAAACTTGTGGCAGGCACCAAGTTAACAACAATAAGAAATTTAGGGATATATTCCATTTTTTCCCTTTTGCCATGACCCACTTTATAGTGGGTATCATTAGTGTGGCGTATCTTGTACCATGTTTAGCACAGCAGTTACCTATTTGAAATAGGTAACTGCTGTGCTAATTTTCTACTATGTGCTTATTTTCTACTATGTTACAGAGACACTGATTTCTAACTGTTCTTGTTTTATTCACTAGCCCTTGTTATCTTAGGGAAAGGGAAAAATCTCTCTCTCCCAGAAAGAACTTGCTTATTCATCAAGAGCATAATACATGTTGATTCAGAATAGGAAAATTGGTGTTTTTTTTTTTTTTTAAGTAGGAGCAATTTTTTTTATTATTCTGCTCAGTCCACCTGTTAACATCTATTGAGTACCTGCAATGTATTATGTGTCATTCTAAGAACTTTCTTTCACATATCATCATATATTATCTCTTATATTAAAAGTTATAAGGGAGATGGCAGTATTCTGTCTCTTTAAATAGAAAACTGAGGTTCAGAGAGACAGTGCAGCTCTACAGGCTCAAGAGGACATAACTAGAAAGTGACAGACTTAGTCTACACATTCCATATCCAGGACTTTCTTTGTAGGGCCATGTTACCTCTTCCCTGTCCCATGTTTGTTTGTTTGTTCGGGTACCAGGGATTGAACTCAGAGACAGTCAACCCCTGAGCCAATCTGCAGCCCTATTTTGTATTTTATTTAGAGACAGGATGTCACTGAGTTGCTTAGCATCTTTCTGTTGCTGAGGCTGGCTTTGAACTCACAATCCTCCTGCCTCAGCCTCTGAGCTGCTGGGATTACAGGCATGCGCCACTGTGCCCAGCTGTGTTTTTGAACAAAGAAGAAAAAGCCTTTTTTTTTTTTTTCCAGGAGCAGTATACTGCTTCCTTTGGCTACCTTTGAGCCCTAATCACTTCTACTTTAATTATAGAAAAGCTGTTCATTTGGGTATGTATTGCTGTAGTCTAAACTATCCAAGCTTCAGTTCTCCTGTAGGGCATATTCTGATAACAGGTTTAGCAGAGAGATTTGGTTGCTATCATTATCATCATTATCAACAAAAAACAGCAATCAAGGGCCCTGAGGTACACAGTAAATTAGGATTCCTTGAATCACAGGATTTTATTTATTTATTTATTTAGGTATTGGGGGACTAAACCCAGGGTCTCACAAATGCCAAGAATGTGCTCTACCACTGAGATATACCACAAGCTAGAATTATGATATTTTGATTAAAAGGAATCTCAAAGATAATTAGGTTCAAACTCCTCATTTAATTGGTAAAGAAACTGACTTAGAGTCATCAACTATGATGGGAACTGGAAAGCCATCTGGGAATATAGACTATCCTGTAGCAAGCTTCCAACAGAATTTGGACATAGGGCAAGTTTATGGCCAAATGAAGAGTAACAGTTAATGAAGGTACTATCAGTAGATGGGTCTCCAAGAGTAGTCCTTATAGAGAGGAAAACTGCACTAGTAGCTATGAAGTCTTCATTTATATGCTCAAAGAATCTGATTCCTAGAGACCTAATATTGGGACATTTCTAGAAATATAGCCTCTATGTTTCATTCGGATATGTAAATGTTCTGGACCATGTAGGGACTTTTTGGTGCTACTTTTAAGGGTAGCTGATTCTTTGAGTTATTCTTGAGTCTTTGCAGAGGAGTATGTTTAATGGGCTGTTCTTTGTTATACCTTGTTCTTATTTCCAGATTTGGTTATGTAATCTATTACTTAGTTTTAGTTCAAGAAGTAGTCTCTGTTCATGAAAGACAGCACAACACACCACCCCAGTTAGGTTTATTCCCTTGTATTTGTACTGTTTAAATATGCCTTTAGAACTTTTTGAAATAATTCCTAGTTCTCTAATAAGTCAATATTTGATCAGACACTGTAACAAGCCATGTAGTAAAAACAGTAGGGCCATTTGATAAACATCTGCCATGTGCAAGGTGCCATACATAAAAATAAGGAAAATCTGGTGGTGGTAAAGTGGAATAAATTGTCCAAGGTCACCCTTTGTGGCAGGCCTGAACTCAAACTCAAGGTTGTCTGATGCCTGAGCTTTGTAGAGCCTACTCATACAGTATAAAACCTAACAGGAGTCCTCATAACAAGTGTTTTGTGTCACAGAGCTGTCTAGCGTGCTTGATCTCTTGAATGAACAGTGGTTTTACTCTTTCATTTATATTTGACTTATTGCTCCTGTTCCTCTGGAAATTAAGTATATAGAGAAGGTGAGGTGGTTGACTATTGGATAACAGTTCTAGAAAGGTGCTTATAGGTAGGAATACTAGCTCCCTTTCCCCTCATTTTAGCTTTAGACAGGGGAGAGAATAGGGTTAGAGATACTGAATATGTTAGGTGTGATCCAAATTGGATAAAAGAAACTAGCCTTATAGAAGCCAACATCTGTTGGATCCAAATAATCTTAGAGGGTTGAGCTTCTGAATTGATTAGTACATTGAGTTCAATTTGTAATGCCTCACATACCAATATATTTTCTAATTAAATTAGCCCTCATGCTGGTTAGACGAAGCTTTTTAAAGCTTTTTTTCCCTTTTTAAAAATGTTGAGGTTTTATGATAGGATTATCCTTGCATTTGAAATGCAACAGAAAAATCAGCCCTTGGGTATTATTCTAAATTACCACCTAAAAAGATTAATTCTACGTAGGAACTATTTAAAAGATACTTTTATAACTTAATGGGTATCTTTCCAAAAGGCAATTTCTTTTTTATTGAAATAAAATCCAAAATAAATAAATCCTATAAATCCCAAAACAGTTTATGAGAACCATAATATATTAACTAGGTACATTTATTTCAGAAAATTTAAAAAATTAATATTTTATGTAGAATGGCAAAAAAATAAGCCTTCTTGGTTTCTAAGTAGGATTATTTGTTTTGAACATTTGTTTTGAACCTTTACTGAGCTTCTGTTTACAACTTAAGCCTGATGTCTGCTGCTTCCTTATCTTTAATATTAGTTTTTAACTAAACCTCAGGTCTATAAATTCCTAAGTATAGTCCTCAGATTTACAACATGTTCTTTCTCCCTTCCATATTTTCTTCCTTGTTTATTCATTCATTCTTCATCCTTTATTTATTTATTTTGTGGTACTGGGAATTAATTGAATCTAGGGGTGCTTTACCACTAAGCCTCATCCGTGACCCTTTTTATTTTTATTTTGAGATAGGGTCTTGCTAAGTTACCCAAACTAGCCTCAAACTGCTTCAGTCCCCCAAATAGCTGGGATTGCAGGAGTGCACCACCACGCCTGATATTTATCCTTTATTTTAAAAATTTCTCTTTTTTATTATAAAAAGAATTTTCCAACGATGAGTCTTTTTAAAATTTGCTATGTAATATTTTATTAGTTTGAAATGATATGTTCAATAGAACATTGTTATACAACATTTTATCGGTCTCTTGTGGTTTTTCAGGTTGACTGTTTTCTTTCACAGTATTAAAAAATATTGCAGTGAATATGCCTACATACAAAATTTTTCTCTCCTGGATGATTTCATTACGATGATTTCTTGGGAGTAGGAGTTCTGGGTCAAAGGGAATAAATATTTTTATGGTTTCTAATATGTGTTGCCAAATCACTTGCCCTTTTAGGGTTTGTAAAGGGTTTGTGTCAGTTTATACTGCCACCGGCAAAACCATGCCTGGATGGTGTCCATTCTGATGCCCATTCTGATGCCCGTTCTCCACATGGCTTTATGTCCTCAGTCTTCAGTCTAGCCTGTGAGCTACTGCCTGAAGTACTCTTCCAGAATTCTGCTTCCCCTAATTCTCTGTTACCTATCTGCTATTTCAGGTGATGAAATTTTTAAATCCATGCCCTTACCAACTGACTTCATCTGTTTTAATTATTTTGCATCCATGTTTGAGGCAGCCTCCTTGAGCTTTCTTCAAATGGTCCATATCTTTTTACCTCTTGGCTTCCCTCTAACCATTTCTTATACTCAGAACTGCTTCTCTGCCAACATTTCTCCATTTCATTTGATTTCAAAGTTGCTTCTTCTACAAAACTGTCAATACAGAAATACTTGTGGTGATCTATCTTTATTACTTAATATGCTTAACTCTTGGTGGGTTGCCAGTATGTATATGTCAATGTGGCCAAGGAGAGAAATACAAAGGAAAGGTAGAGGGATGTTTAGAGTTGTTTTTTGTTTGTTTTATTTAAAGGAGGGCTTAGGATTCATAAGTGCACATATTTATTTATATATATGATGACTGAAACTTGAGAGGAAAATGAGGAATTCTGTACTCTATTTCTTTGATACCCACTTTTCTGTGGTTAAGTCAGTTTGTTCTATCCTCCATTCTCTCCTACTCAGTTCCAAAGTGGAAAATAAGAGCATTGCCAGTTATTTCAGGAGAATCTTAGCATTCTCTTCCCTTTCAGTTATTTTTACTCAATATCATTGGCATCATCATCATTATGACCCTAATATTTACTGGAAATTTACTGTGTGCCAGGCACTGAGATAGTATATTATATGCCTTAGCTCTTTGAACTCTCACACTTAACCAGTGAACCTACCCTCTGTTTCCAGATGAGAAACCTAGTCAGTTTACTTGCTCAGGGTCACAACTTGTAAGTGGTGGAGCCATGATCCATGATTTAAACTCTTATTCTTACAGAATTACTTTTCTAAAATATTGTGTCCTTAAAATTTTCTGAAGATTTATTGCATATGAGAAAGGAAATACAATTTTCTCTGCAACACTGTCAATCTCTGTTCAGTCTACTTTTTCATTCTCATCTTTTTCATCCCCTAACATGTGTCCTGTGTTCTGGCCTCAGAGCTGCTTGTTTCATGAATATATCATAGTGTTTCACACATCTGAGTCTTTGTATTTGTCCCTAGGATGCTCTTCACTTGCCCCCTGGCAAATTCCCATTTATCCTTCCAGAAACAGCTCACATGCTCTATGCTTTGTTCGAGTATTTCAATTTTCCTGGGAAATTAGTAACTTGGTTCTCTGTACTCCTTTGTGTATATTTCTGCTACAGTCTTTCACACTGCTTTATAATTATTTGCTTACATGCCTGTCTCTTCCTTAATAAGTTATTGAGATAGGGGAAAGCAACTTTTTAGAGGGATATTATTTCCTGTATTTTTAAACATAGCCTAAGTTTAAAATCTGTGTATTTAAAATAATATTGTTTCTCTTTTTTCCCTCCTCAGCATAGGGCTACTTTCAAATTTGAATCAACAGATGAAGATAAGAGAAAGGTAAGCCTTGATGTTACTCTGTGTGTGAGTGTGTGTGTGTGCGTGTGTGTTATTCCTGGACATTTTAAGCAGTGGAATTATTTTCAGTTGATTATTAGTACTTAGTTTCTTTGGTTTGTTTTGTAGGAACCCTGCAGGTGAAGAAAGATAGACGCCTAATTTAGTTAACACACAACTTCCTTCTGCTTCATCCCTACAGGACCATTAGACTTGCAAAAATCAGGGGCATGGGAATGTTATGGTAGGGAGCCTTTTGGGGGGATCCTTTCCCTAGATTTCCTCACTGCCAAAGGTTGCCTTTGTTTGGTGGCAGTACTTCTGATTTCCCAAATTTCTTACTAATGTAAAGCTTGGCTGGGATGGGTTAGGTTTTAGTAATGCAGCACCAGAAGCTCAACCACATATCCTTCCCCTTACTGGCAGTTATGTATGTTGTTAGCAATTTTCTGTGTCACTGGCTTCATGGGCATAGGGGAAGATGAAGTCAAGAAACTCTAGGAGTTATTCCAAGAAAGGGTGCATCAGAGATATGACCATGCAGGATATGCCTGCCTTTTGGGATTGCCTGTTGTGTCTTTACTTTGTTGGTTAAAGCATGATGCTGATGAGGATAAACTCACTAATTTTGCTGGGCTCCATCTTTCCTGGTTTCAAAAATACCAGAATCAGATAAAATAGCTTAAATCTTTTTTGTTTTTTTTTATTGAGCCATATCCCTAGCCCTTTTTATTTTTTATTTTGAGACAGGGTTGCTTAGGGCTTGGCTAAGTTGCTGAGGCTGGCTTTGAACTTGTGATTCTCTTGCCTCAGCTTTCTGAGCCACTGGGATAACAGGTGTGCACCACTGTGCCTGGCAAAAAAAAAAAAAAAAAAAAGGCTTAAGTTTAGTACTTTGCTGATAGACAAATTCAGGGGAATGGAGCAGGTGTCACAGGTCTAGAAGTCTGGACAGGGGATTTGGATATGGGGAGGAAGGCCAGGTGCCAAAAACTTCCCTGTGAGCTGTAGGAACTGGGATATTTGCTTAGTGCTTCCCAGGCTTCTGCGCACATTTTCCATGAGCTCTTCTAGTCACTCTGATTTGCTTGCACCAGGACTGTTGAATACCTGACAGCCTGAGTGTGAGAATAAAGGTCAACAAAGTGTCATGCTTAACACCCTGAACCTCACTGTGGAAGCAAATTTCTGATGCTATTGAGAGAAAACAAGAAGATGGAATTATTTTCAGGTAGAAGACAGTCCTCTCTTTCCCTCACGCCTGACACATGAAGAGTTCTTTAATATGGAGGGCAATCTTGGGGTGTTTTCCTGAAAGACATTTTAGAAATAGAATGTGTCACTCCATGGGCCTGCTGTCTCATGTCAGTGGAAAATTCTGCTGCCTGTAGATATGAGACTCTTATTAGAGGAACAAGGTATTACAGGCATTGTCTCCCGATGGAAAATTATTACATCAATACATATTTATGTTATAAAAACAATCTAGTTCTTCCCTGGTGCCAGATTGATACCACCTTGAAATCATCTTTTCATTCACCTGTATCCCCACATCTAACATGTGTATCTATCTAATTTTATCTCCTAAGATTTCTTCAGTCTATTTTCCCTTAATCCTTACCCTGAGACTGTCATCTGGATTACTACATCAGTTTTCTAACTGTTCTTTCATTTTCCAGTTACTTGCTTTTCCAGCTGATTGTCAATAAGTCTAAAATAGCAATTTGACCATGTCATTCTCAGCCTTAAAACCCTTTAGTTAACTTTTGCCTATAGAATAAAATTCCATCTTCTTAATGTGACATAGTAGATGCTCAGTCATCTGATCTTTGTTTCTGCAGCCTGTATTTTCTCACTTTCTTGTATTTTATGTTTTAGCCATATAAGATATTTGCAGTGACATACACATACATATCTCTTCCATTTTTTCCTTCCTGCTTTTGCATGTGTTGTTTTCAACTTAGAGTGCCCTCTTCTTTGTGTTTACCTCTTTTCCTTTTGACTAACTAGTTAATTCCTCCTCATCTTAGAGGCACCTCCTTCAGCAGTCCTCCTCCAGCATTTAAGTTAGGATAAAGTTCCCCCCTTCAATGTTCCCATAACGGTTTATGTACGTCTCTTATGCTTAATATTTATATCTTATCATTATATTTCTGTGCCTTTCATTGTTAGACCATGAGGATACCTGATGATGAATACTGTTATTTACCATTATATCCTTGGCATCTGGAGTACCCATCATATTATAAGCACACAAAAAGTATTGAATGAGTGATCATGGAGTGTAAATTTTAGAGACTAAAGGAGACTTTCTTTTGGATTTGAACAACGTAAATAAGACAAAGAATACCTTTAGAAATGGGGATTTCTCAATTAGAAATGTGCTTTTGGTTAGTTTTAGTCCTGTCCAACCCTTTTATCTACTGAATCAGAATTTAGGGAGTGGTCTGTGGTATGTGTATTTTTATAATCTTCAGAAAATAAATGCTCATACATTTGATGTGAGTGCAAAGTGGCATAGTGTCTGTAGAAGATGAACTGGCAATATCTATCAAAATGACAGATGCCTTTTACCCTTTGACCATAGAGTGTCACTCAGTATTCTGTGTACAGATTGAACCCAAAGTTATTCATTGAAACAGTGTACATAAAAGCAAAAGATTGGAAACAACTAAGCATCCAGCAATTAGAGAATATTTGAAGAAACTGGCAAATTTACATAATGAAATATTATGATATAGTAAAGAGGGGAAAATCCTGTTATGTGCTAATGGAAGAGTTAATGGGGGGAAAAAGAAGGTATTAGAATGTATTGTTCGGGCTGGGGATGTGGCTCAAGCGGTATCACGCTCGCCTGGCATGCGTGCGGCCCGGGTTCGATCCTCAGCACCACATACAAACAAGATGTTGTGTCCTCCGAAAACTAAAAAAATATATAAATATTAAAATTTTCTTTCTCTCTCTCTCTCTCTCTCTCTCTCTCTCTTTCTCTTTAAAAAAAAAACAGAATGTATTGTTTGACAAATTCATTCATGATGGGAATTCAGCCTAGGAAGGAGGCTGTGACATGTTTACTTGGGAAAATCTATGCTACACATACAGATTCATAATGCTATAGGAATCTGACTTTCGAATCTTCAGTATTATTTTCACTGGTCAAAATCAGCACATTCAGACAGAGCTTCCCTCACCTTATGTAAATTTTAGTAGAGGGAGAGAAATTTCCCACACAGTTGTTAATAAAGCATGTTGTTTATTTCCTGTAGGATAGTAGAAAAACCTTACATTTTTCCAAGCACTCTTGTTCCTCAGTATTTACGTGGGTTTGTTCCTGCCTACCAAAATCTCCAGGTGCTCAAGTCCTTTATATAAAAGGGTGTTGTATTTGCATATGATGTATGTACATCCTTCCTTAAGCTTTTACTAGTACAATGTAAATGCATGTAAATACTTGTTATATATTACTGTTTAGGGAACAATGAAAAAAAGTCTACATGTTCTGTACAGATGCAATTATTTTCCTAATGTATTTGATCTGGATGTTGGTTGAATCTGCAGGTATAGACATCTTTATTAACTTTTAGATATCTGGAGAGAGTAATTTCTGTAGTAGTGCTAACTTTGGTTATAGTGTGTAGATTTCTGCTTCCTGGGAGATCTGTTATAAACAAGTGTCATTAGGGACTTCACTAGGTAATCTTCATTAATGGAAAAACATGGGCAAACAAATCTGTTTAAGTCTCCAAGGGTTAAAACCATTATTGACTCCTTCATGCCTAAAACTCTTTTTAGATTTTTACATCAAAACTATTGGGCAGTTGGAAAAGATTACACCCAACAGCATTATAAGTTATTAATGCAGAGACTCATAGAGTATTGCCATTTATCTACATTAAACCCAATTGAAAATAAAATTCGGATTACTGCACAATTTATTTTGCTGTCTTAGTCTCCTTTTCTCTTTCCTAAATGTGTTTCTGGAGTCTTTTGCCAGAAACCACTTGGTAACAGCACCATCCCTCTCAAAAGTATGGTGCTGTCTCTGAAAAATATTTAAAAGAAAAAAAATATTTAAAAGAAAAAAAAAGTAGTAGTGTGAGGGAACAGTGCTCTTCAGAAAAATAAAACCTGATTATATGAGCTTTTCAGGATATGGTTATAAATGAATGGTCCTTAGACTCAGTTCCTGATTCTTAGTAGTGTTCTGCATTTTAAGAAAGTTTTGCTTCTCAGCAGTAGTACCTGTAAGATGAGAATATTCCTATTTTATGGATAAGAAAACTGAGGTTCACATGATGACAACTTGCTAATGCTCACACCACTAGGAAGTGGCAGAGCCTCAAACAGAAAACAGATTTTTCTCACTGTTCTGTGCTTTCTTTTCACTACTTACCACTGTATAGCTTCCTCTTATTATCATTTGAGGTATATTTCAGAAGATTTAAAATTATGATCCATTACCTTGTTTGATCTTTTATTTCACAGCTTGAGACACTACTTGGGCAACTAGATAGAATGGAAGTTAGCAAAAGAAATTAGAAACTGAGAGTTCTTAAATTTTTCACAAGCAGTAAAGGCAGATACAACTTCTAACGTTTGAGCATATTATGCAAATAGTTTCCAGTGCATGTGGATCATTGTATATTTAGATATAAGCACCTAAGCACCTGTGTTTATTGAAGCATTTGTTTTACATTTTCTACCTAAATTGGTAGACTGTGATTACCTGCTAGCACATAAACAAATGTATCATGCAAATATGTAGGATGGAGGAGGAAAATTATTGAATAATCTGAAAATGCACCTCTTGAGGAAATGAAAGCCCAAGACCTCAAACCAATAAAAAGTACTAATTGCAAAAGTTGAAAAAGATGTCATAAAATAAGTAAAAGCTTGCAGCTCTTTAACCTATAAGATAAGAATGAAGCCTTATCAAATGTGGAAATACTTGTTGTCTGAGATAAATCTTGGTGAATATAGTAAGTTTCCTCTGAAGAGTAAAG